CTTTTTGGACTGCCTCTTTGTTTGCTTGTCGTTGCCTGGTTCATGTTGTTGATGCTAGTTGTTTGTTTAATAAACCTCCAGCTTTTGGGGTTAATCCGCCTCCATGTCTTCACCTACGGCTCCCTCACACAGAAAGGGAAAAATATTAATAGATTTAGAGTAATAATACTAAAACTAAAATTACTAAATTAAACAAACAAAATTAAATGAATGAAATTACGATGACACTTAACCAAATAACCGTAAGGAAAGCAAAATTGAGCATCTTCTTTAAATACATCTGCATAATATTTCAGGAATCTTAGATTTTTTTTTGTATTATTCTTAATAATATAAAGTGATTTTAGGAGGAAGTTAAATTCTATTCTAAAATGAAAAAAGGATGGGTAATTATTTGTGAATTTCTGTTTGTGAATGAAAAATTTGCCATATAAGAATAAAAAAAGTATGATGCGTTCCAGATATTTAGCTTTTGGGTCTTTTACAGTCTTTTAGATTAAAGCAATTCACAGCATTGGCAGAAGCAGATATATGAGAATTTAGAAGTGACCAAAATTGCTTGGATATTGGACAATCAAAACATATGTAGTAGTGCAGGTGTGGCCAACCCTGTTCCTGTAAAACCACCTTCCTGCAGATTTCAGTTGCAACCCATATCTAACACACCTGCCTGTAATTATCACGTGGTGTTCAGGTCCTAATTAATTGGTTCAGGTGTGTTTGATATGGGTAGCAACTGAAATCTGCAGGAAGGTAGCTCTCCAGGAACAGGGTTGGCCACCCCTGTAGTAGTGTTTCCTCTACTTGTTTGCAGAAAGAACAGGAGCTGTCGATGTCCAAAAAACTGTAAATACTACATTTTACAGGGTCGATTTTATGGAAAATTTTAAAATGCATTTCTTTAGCCTTGTTGTAAAATGCAATATTTCCCAGGTAAAAGCCAGTTTCTATTCCAGTCTATATCCTTAACCAAAGACCTCCAGTAAAACTTTCCTCTAGACGAAATTTTCCTTTTACATTGGAAAATTTGACGCACAAAGCTATTGTTACGTTTCTTATCTAACAGACTAACACCTTCTAAAAGCAAATTTACAGTTAAATGTACAGTGACTTTTAACTAGGTGAACTAAACCGGGTGATATTGCCTAACAACTTTATTAAATTCATTAGGAGGAGTTGGAAAATAGTGGTAGGTTATAAATGGTTCACGAAAGAATGTTTCCTGCATCATCAAACAAGCAAAGGATCCAATTAATGTTATTTTTAAACCAACTTTGGAAAAATAATGATTTGTTTTTGATTGTAATATCTCGGTTATTCCATAAGAATAATCGGTGGAGAGAAAAATTGTGAACATAACCAAGCTTCCAAGCAAGCAGACATTGCTGGTGGAATTTAGACAAAGCTAAAGATAGCTTGTAGGGAAGATAATTTAATTTAAGAAGAAACAAAAGACTACATATTTTGTTAAAAAAAAGTAGTTGGGAATAAAAAAACAAATAGACGTTGGATTGGTTAGGCATCTCTTTATCCAATTAATTTGAGAAATGTATATGGTGTCAGAAAAATCTAATAAATTTACACCCCCTCTGCTTTACTATTAGAAAGAACTTCCTTTTTTAATTTAAGAGGTTTGTTCTTCCAGATAAATTTCAAGAAAACAGTATTAATTTCTTTGGCCACTTTGTTTTCAACAAATAAAGATAAAGTAGGATATACAAAATGAGAAAGACCCTCTTCCATTTAATGACAGGTCCCATTGTAGCCAGGAATTAAGAATATTTTTAGTTTTGCTGATCCTAGACAAAAAAAAAAAATAAATTCAAGTGCTGTCTCACTAAAAGATTTTAAATAACATAAATAAATAACCATTTAATTGTAGATTTAACAAGGATATCTTCTATATATTCCTAACTCAAATTATGAACAGGGATTATCTCACATTTGGAGATATTCAGCTTTAGACCAGAAACACTTGAGATATCAGAAATTAAATTTAAAGCCTTTGATACGTTTGAGTCATCTTTTAGAAATAAAGTGGTGTCATCTGCCAATTGTGAAATCTTAATCTCCCTTTCAAAAACAGAATTTTTTTTCAAATCTTGATTTTGCACAATGCTTAAGGACTAATAAAAACTAATAAAAATGAAAGTCCTGCCTAATACCACACAAAATATCAAATCCATTAGAAGTATTAAAATTAACAATCACTTAACAATTGATTCCTTTATAAAACATAGCCATAGTGTTAACAAAAGTTTCCCCAAATCCAAATAACCTCAATGCTTAAAAACAGAAACTGGTGCTCAACCGTATCAAAGGCTTTATAAAAATCAAGAAAAAGAATGAGACCATCTGAATGAATAGAATCAGCAAAATCGAGCAAATCCAAAACTAATGTTATGTTATTAGAAACATGGCGGCCTTTTATAAACCCAGACTGAGTTTCAGAAATAATAGAATCAAGATTTGTTTTTAATCTGTTGGCAAAGTCTTTTTTTGTTTGTTTGTTTAGTTTTTTTGCCACTCACTGTTGCAGTCATGACATAATACATTTCTCCTTCATTTTCCACCTCACACAACATCTGCTATCTCTCTCACATACAAAGACTTTCAGTATTAGAAGTTGATCAAACATTAACACAATTTTGTTTAATTTATATAATCCACTAAGACTAAGTGTTGAAAGATTGAATCACTCCTATATGGACGTAATGCGAAATAACATTCTGATGTTTTGCAGTAATTAATAGAGTTCACATACTCTGTAAGACATATTATGTTAAAATGATGGGCAAATCTGTATATTTCATTTGGGTTCCTGCCCACGTAGGTGTGGAAGGCAATGAAAAGGCGGACATTCTGGCCAAACAAGCTCTCAGAATTAGTGAAGTAGATCTAGAAGTACCACTGAATAAAGCAGAAGCTAAAATCAAATTAAGGAAAATCAGTATGGCAATTATACTGGGATAACAATGAAACAGGCAGACATCTATATAATATACATAAACAAGTCGTTGCTGGAAGGAGGGAGAACAGAAATCATAGGGAAGTACGATTATAACTCAGATGAGAATAGGTCATACTGGACTCAACCATATTTTATATAAAATAGGGAAACACTTAACTGGGCAATGTATACACTGTAATCAACAAGAAACAATATGACATGTTTTATTCCACTGTAGTAAATATAATAAAGAACGATACGATCTTATTCAATCAGTTAAAAAGAGCAAACTTCAGGATTTCACATTGGCTGGTTTATTAGGGAATAAATCTATTGAGGTATATGACGATATAATTAAATTTGTTTAAGAAACCCATTTAGAGAAAAGAATATAGAGATAATATAATCTAAGGAATTAATTGTTAGCTCACTCCACCCCACATTTTTTATTTATTCATTTATTTTATTTTTCATTTCCTCCCTCTTTCCTCCCCCTCTTCCCCTCCCCTCTATTTTTACACTTCAGTTATTGTTCAACCATTCCAGTCGGAGGCGGTAATGCACCTACAAGTCTGGTTGCCAACCGCCAGTAAAACCCAAAGAAAAAGAAGAAGAAACAGATTAATTAAAGTTTTAGGTTTTTTATCTGATACTAAATTATGAACCTGCTGTTAACAATATTATTTTAACCCTTTATACAACGAAGTACTATTTTACTCACAGTAATGAGGACTATTGAACAACGTGTGTGTAATAAGTGTCTTACTGAAGCTTTAATTTATTAAACAGTATAATGTCATTCCATTCTAAGTTTACATCACTATATATAAGAAATGGAGTACTAGTTTTAATCAGCTAATTTGTGGCTATAGTTTCTTGCTCAGACTTATCTGATTTATTTTTGTTAATTACTCTCATATAAGAAGAAGATAAGTTATTTTCTTTCTGTTCATTGTTTTATTCATTTTACATTTTTATTGCTTTGTTAATTTTTAACAGGATAAAGTGTCCAAACGCAGAGAAAAAATATATAAGTCATGAGTAGTTAGAAGAAGAACTAAAACATAAAGTAGTAATGAATACTTTTTACATGAAGGACACCTATTTTACCTCCTTTTCTGTAAAGTTTCAGCTCCAAACACTCATTAAATTATTTGTTATACCTTTTAGAGTGTTGAGATTTTTGCTTTAAACACTTAGTCTTAGTGGATTAAAGAAGTTTTTTTTAAATATCTTAAAATGTTTAGAGTAAAGGTTTTGATCAACTCCAAATACTGAATATATGTGCGTCTTTGAGAAAGTGGAAACGAAGGAGAAATATATCAATAAGTCATGACTGCAACAGTAAGTGGCAAAAAAGGTTTTAAAAGACTTTTATTTTGGCGTGGCGTGTGACGTCATAAGCCTGCGCCGTTCAAGCGCTGTTATTCAACCGGAGAAAGGTTTGTTTTAAAGCGTTTACACTTATATAAACCGATTGATTAAAGTTTCAGTTTTTTTTTCATTTAGTGCTAAATTATGTACCTGCTGTTGACAATATTAGTGTCAATATTAGTATAGTACAATTGTTTGAATAAAGATAGGATAAACTTTTTGTCCTCAAGAGGAAATTTGTCTTGTGCAAAAAAAGTGCTACACATTGCTGTAAGCAGACAATAAGCTAAATAAAACAAACAAAACAATTAAAAATATACATAAAAAATAAAGTTTAAAAAAAGGTTACAGAGATGTGTGTAATAAGTTTAATAACTTTATTGAAGGTTTAATTTATTAAATAGTATATTGTCATTCCATTCTGAGTTTACAACTATATAAGAAATGGAGTAACGTTACTAGCTTTAATCGGGTCATTTGTTTGTGGCTATTGTTTCTTGCTCAAACTTACCTGATTTCTTATTGTTAATCACTCTCATATAAAGAAACTGTTGAAGTAAGTGTTAAGAAGTTATTTTGTTTCTGTTCATTGTTTTATTTATTTTAAACAGAATAAAGTGTCCAAACGCAGAGAAAAACTCCTGCTGAAGCGACTGATCTCCACACTGTTATAAAGATGGCGTTTATTAAAGAGGAGAGTGAAGATGTGAAGATTGAAGAAGCATTCACAGTCAAACAGGAAGATCTGCAGGAACAATCAGGTTGGTTTTCATTCTCAAAGACCAACTCGGTCATTTAATCCTCATTCAGATATTTTAATAATAAGAATATTAAATTAAATCCATCTTGCAGCTCTGAGTGTGCTGCCTAGTTATCCTAAATGCACACAAGCACTCATGAGCTATGTTTCCATCTAAAAATGCAAATAAACTTTATGCGCAAAACTGGATTTTTCCATTCAAATGAAATCAAATCACTTTTATTGTCACATCATCAGCAGCACGTGTGCTATGATGAGTGGAAAGCTTAGGTGCTGGCTCCAGACAGTACAAAATACAGACAGTACAAATACAACAACAGTGCAAAATACAGACAGTGCAAATACAATGACAGAGTCAAAGCGAACAAAATCATCACTTCCTGATTAACTGGTGCCAAATATCAACAGTAAAAATGGAATTTGCTGCGATAAGAGAAGCTGCATCAATAGCCGCGTTTCCACTATCTCGTCTAAAGCAAGCGAGACAGGGCGAGCCAAGGCCAGTCGCATTTCCACTGTCACTTCCTGGGCCTAATCGAGCCAAAGCGGGGCTTTCTCGGGGTCAGCGGCCGGCCTTTTTTGGCCCGCCGAATACCTTGGGCCAAAGAGGGCCAGCTGGGGCTTCGGGGCGGAGTGAAAGGAAAGGCAGACACTAGTTTTCCGATCGCACACGAGTACATGCACCAAACAAATAACCAAATAAAAAAAATAAGGGAAAGAAAGCATCTAGCCTTTTAGGCTGGGGTCTTTTTGCGTATGATCGCCCTTATGTTTCCCTTTTAAATGTAAGGCTGTTGCATAAAATGATAAAGTTTTAATTTATAAGTGACTTTGCTGCATCCTCCTTGATGTTTCAATAACGCATAATAATCTTTACACCGTATTTAAGACACAGCAGACAGTAAAGGTTTTTGAGAGTTTTTGTCAAGTTTAAAAGGTGTTTGTGCGTGTTTAGATGCCTGTTTGTGAATGTGAGACCGAGCAAAAGAGCGCTCTCTTCACAGCTCTGTTGATGCTGCGAGCGGCTTCTGTTTTTATTTATTTTGAAGATAATACACAACATAAATACAACAGAAAGACATTAAACTTTACAAATTTCGTGTCCATTTTTGTAGACTCAAAAACAATAGTGTCATATCCTAATAAAATAGCCTAAGATATATTGAAATAATTTAAATAATTACAAATGTCGCATATAATAAAATCACATAAAATAAATAAACCAATATAAAACAAATAAAATCTATTTATAATAATTTAGGTAGCCTATAAACAATACATAAATCAAACCATTTTAAAGCCATATTAAACTTTCATTTTACAAAGGCCTATCTGAAAAAAAGATTTTAGATATTTTCTAAAACAATAAACACCGGAGGAGGTTTGAAATATTATTTATAAAGTATATGGATACGATCATATTAATCAAATCATGTAAACAGAGCATTTTATGGGTGAGTGAAAGCAGAAACTAGGCTACCTTTTTTTCTGTCATGCATGCATTATCCGCCTGATTCTCGCTGAAGTGGGCAGGTTGTGTGACGTTTGATTCGGGGGACGTTCTGGGGGCGGGGTTTGCATGACACGCTGCGAGGTGCTAGCCCGACAGTGGAAACGCAACATGATTTCTGCCTCACTGCTCAACCCCCCCTTGCGATTGGCCCGGCCCTGCCCGATAAAAGCCCTGGCTTGCACATGCCCGACAGTGGAAATGCGGCTAATCTTTTCTTCATCTAATAAATGACTTGCGACTCAGAGGGTGATCCTGAAACGCAGAGAACGCGTAGTGCCGTTTAAAGGTGTCAGATGCGAAGCTAAGATGCTCTTAATTCTGGAGGTCATGAATAATATAATAACACTAATACTTGAACTGTAAGGCGATTAAGAATGACCAAAACAAGAGTTCAGATGTTTTATAATGTACTGAGCCGGCTGGTTTGTCCATTCATACACATTTTTATCATCACATGATCTCTTATAACAAAATCACATGACCTTTTTAATGCACATGCTGGAGTTTGTATCGTGTTTTCCATCGTGATTTTTGATCTTTTCTTATTGAATAAAACGTTTATCCAACTCAGTTATGCGCATACGTTTTTATTTGTTTTGTTTTTTTTTTGCATCATGGTGTTTTCATAAACCGTTTTTTTATGTGCATAAAAATAGGTGGATGGAAACATAACTATTGAAAGACAGGAATGAGTTTCTCTCTTGTTACTTGTTCTCGTGTCTTTTGTCATTATTTTATTTATTATTAGTCTCCCATTTTCTCTACCTTCTTAAGGTTATTGCTTTTCTTGTTCTCCTACTGTTTGTAAAGTGTCCTTGAGCACCAGTGCTATATAAAATAAATAAAAACAACTAATAATAAAAAAAAAAACTTAAACTGAGCTGAAGATATTTGACCTACTGTATTCTCATAGAAGATATCTGCTTTAACGGTAATGGTGTTGGCTTAGTACTCTCCATTTGCATATGTCACATTGATCCAAATTAACTTTTTTCATCAATATATATTTTTAATTAATTTATTATTGTATTATTAAATGTATTAAATTATCATATTTTTTAAATGGGGCAAATTAAAATCTTTTCCATCTGGGCTATTTGAAAAATCCCTTAGCCTTTAGCCCTTTATGAGTCTAAAATTGTCATAATGGTCTTAAAAATGTCTTTAAAAGTCTTACATTTAACTTGGTGAAACCTGCAGAAACTCTGGTTTAAAGTTTAAAAAAAAAAAAAAACATGGATGCCCCTGATATTAAATATGCTGAATGAAGTGGACAATAAAATAAATAATTATTATAAAACATTGTACAGTAATCTAAACTATATGATGTTGCTGCAGGGCGACGTGAGACTAAATGAACAAACTATTGTGGAACAATAACGTTAAACATTGCGCTGACTACAACTGGCCAACAAACTAGTCTAAAAATGACTTTTGCTGCTTAAGAAATGGATTACAGCATGCTGATAATATGCAGAGATTTGAGTGTAAAGTTCGTCAGTATTGACCATATTCTTCATGTACCAGCAGGTGCCGCCATTTGAATCTTTTTGCTCTTGACTTTTATTAAAGAATTAATTTTAGATCCTAAAAACAGTGTTGTGCTGCTGAGGCATGGGACGATAACCGTTTTCAAGGTATAACGCAGTTTGAAAAAAGCTGAGGTTTAAAACCGCCAATATTTTCTTCTGTACCTTTCATCGCTACATGTAAGGTTTTTTTTTTTACATTTTGTTTTAAGATTTTCAGGACAACAGTATCTCCAAAGATGCCATTTTAAATTGTAAAGAAATCTCTGTTTATGAAACAAATGAAGACAGCAGAAGTCAATGATTCAATTGAGTGATTCAGCCTGACATGTTTACTGCTCCAAAATACTTTAAAAGTTTCTCAAAAGAAAATGTTTTTTGTGTTCAAAGAGGAAAAAGTTTTTTTTTTTTTTTTTTTTTTTTTACAGAGACATTTAAAAGAATATATTTTAGAGGAGTAATCACAGTACCATAAAACTGTGATATTTTTTATTCAAGGTTGTCATACTGTCAGAATCTTATACTGACCCATGCCTAATGCTGCTTGTTGTAGCAAAGTCATATTTTCTAATTTTATTGTTTTTCTTTGTATGTATAGTCATGAACACACTTGTTTGCAGAGCAAAAGAGCCTGTCTCTGAAAGAGATAAAAGATAAAGTGGTATTTCTCACTTAGCCTTACATATTCAGCCACCTAATTTTATGTGCATTTTGGGTAGGCTATAAGCATAAAAAATTGGTTGATGGAAACGTCATGATGCACATAACTTTTGAAATGTAAGCATAAAGAAACATGCGCATAACTGAGTAGGACAAACTTTTTATTCGATAAGAGAAGATAAACTCTCGTAAACCTTGCAAGCACTTTTACTGAACAAATTCCAGTATGTGTGTTTAAAAAGGTTTGGTATAAGAGATCATATGATGATGAAAATGTGTGTGAATGCACAAACCAGCAGGCTGAGAACATTATAAACATCTGAAATGTTGTTTTGGTCATTCTAAAACACCTGAACCGTTTCAGTATTCATGTTATTATATTAATAATGTCCTCCAGAGCGTCTAGAGCGTGTCAAGAGTGTCTGTTCTCTGCGTCTCATTGCTTCAAACGCCAACACGTGTTCATTGTGTGCCAGCATTGACCTCTGAGCTGTCATTTAAAGAAAAGATTCATGTAGCTTCTTCTACTGCAGGAAATTCTGTTTTTACTGTTCATATTTGGGGCCTGTTAATCAGGAAGTGACAATTTTGTTCTCTTTGATTCATTGGATGGAAACGCAGCTTTATTCGCACATCTTTTATGTGACATCCCAGTTTTGCGCATAAATTTAATTCACATTTTTAGATGAAATCATAGCTATTGCCTACATTTCAGTAACACAAAGAACAAAGTCACATAGCAGAATGGCTTGTCCTTTCTTAATGAATAATTTGCTTAAATTCACTAACCTTCGACGGACATGTACTGTAACTAGATTAATGGGATTATTACTAGTTCTAAAATGATTTTTTAGTCCTGCTTACATTCTAAATGTCATATCAACCTCTACCACTTGATAGGGCTGTGCAATTAATCGAAAATCTGGTTTCAATTTCGATTTTGGCTTCTAATGATTATGAAAATCCATTAATCGAGATAAACGATTATTCCATCATATACCGCTCCCTTTCCAGTTGTACACACTTGTTGCTCTGCAAAGCTCAGTTCCACATGAAAATGACTAAAAGCATGTGCTGTAATGTAACTTTTGCAGCACGGGACGCGCATCATTCCTATTTTTAAAAGTGCGTAAGTGCACATGCTCTGTGTGTGCGCCGCGCTTAGCCTTGGACAGGCTCGGAGACAAGCAGAAAACATACATCTAATGCCATCTTAATGTGAGCGCTTTAATGATCAAGTACATGCAAATTTGTGTAGTGTTTAGTGATTAGTCATATTAACCCTTGTTAGTATAATATACAAACAAGTTGAGAATCAAAAGACACTTGAAAGAGAAACCATATCAGAGCCACACTATTCCTAAAGTGACAGCGCACAATATTCCTGCTGCCGACTGTTTTTAGCATTAATCAAACAACAAAAGAAGAGAAAACCCCTTACTGCTCTTGACTGAAAGACTTTTGTAGCTCAAATGTTTTTCTCAAACCGAAAACTCTGGGTAATTAATCTCTCGGTAAATCAACTCAGAGTTCAAGTTTAAACTCGTAGTTGGTTGAACCTCCTTACTGAAACAGGCCCCAGGTCATCATGACGTGATTGACAATTGTCACTGTTTGTCATTGTACTCTGTTTATCCTGAGAGCTGATGCGGAGTATTCTTAGGGCTTTTCACACTTCGGATAAATTCTGGGTTATCTGTAGTCACCTTCCACACTGCTCATGCTATACCTGGGGTTAAAAAATAATCCTGGGTGTTCATTAACAGACAGTTCACATTTGTAAACCCTGGGTTATCATTATTATTTTGTATATTTACGTTGTCACTGTCCCTGATTGGACAAACCACAAGTAACCTTTTTAGATGGCATTTCTGCATCTTGTCGGGTAGACCAAGTAGGTCTTCAGCTAAGCCTCGGGGCATACACAAAGACAAGAAAACAAAAACAAAAGTACAAATAAATGGAAACAAGTAGCAAAGCATGTCATCTTGCCATCTCCTCATTACTCCTGTTTAAAGCAAATGTGGCATTAAGAATTTGTATAAGTTTTATACAATAATGCAAACTTGCAAATATAAGCGTGAATTATGCATACTTGCTATGGACATGCAGGATTTGTCTCAATCGAGGAAAAAACATGAGTAATCTAGAGCGAGTGCATTTGGTTATGTGCATTTAAAGCCACAGGCACAAAAAGAGCTTGGTTTTCCTCTGACCCCCAAAATTAAATATTCTACAAGGTATATGATCTGATTTTGAGCTGAAACCTCAGACACATTCTGGGAACACCAGTCTTATTTTACATCTTGTAAAAAATGGGTAATTGTAGGAACCTTTTAAAGGGATAGTTGATGCAGAAATGAAAATAGCCTCACCATTTATTCTTCCTCGTGTGGTTTTAAACCTTTTTGAGTTTCTTGATCATGTTAAACACAAAAGAAAATATATATATATATATATATATATTAAAAAAAAAAAAACGCTACTGGCTTACTGTGTTCAACAATAAAGGAAAGTTTAAAACAACATGATGGAGAGTAAATGGTAAGGTCATTTTAATATTTGGGTGAAAACATCCATTTCTTGCTTGTCGCTTTGAGCCTTTATACTAAAGCAAATTTTTATTTTATTTTATTTTTTTTTTTTAGATCTGATGGTGCTGAAAGAAGAGACTCATGGACAGAATGAAATGGATGAGAAACAGCAGTTTGAGAAACCCCAAGAAATAACGACTGATGAAAAACCCACACTGACTAAAAAGACTTCATCACACAGAAGACCTCGGAAATCCAAATCTGGGTGTAATTTCAGCTGCAAACAGTGTAGAAAGAGTTTCAGTCAAAAGTCAAACCTTGATGTTCACATGAGAGTTCACACTAGGGAGCAACCTTTCACCTGCGAACAGTGTGGAAAGAGTTTTGGTCAAATACAAGGCTTTAAAGCCCACATGAGAATTCACACTGGAGAGAGGAAGTTCACATGCCAAGAGTGTGGAAAAAGCTTCCGTCATGCAAGAAACCTGGCAGCGCACATGAGAACTCACACTGGAGAGAGGAAGTTCACATGCCAAAAGTGTGGAAAAAGCTTTTATCATGCTGGACACTTTGCAGCACACATGAGAACTCACACTGGGGAGAAGCCTTTCAGCTGTAAACAGTGTGGAAAGAGTTTCTGTCAAAAGCCAAACCTTGATGTTCACATGAGAGTTCACACAGGGGAGAAACCTTACACCTGCGAACAGTGTGGAAAGAGTTTTAGTCAAATACAAAACTTTAAAATCCACATGAGAATTCACACTGGAGAGAGGCCATACACATGCCAAAAGTGTGGAAAAAGCTTTTATCATGCTGGACACTTTGCAGAACACATGAGAACTCATACTGGAGAGAAGTCTTTCAGCTGTAAACAGTGTGGAAAGAGTTTCAGTAAAAAGCTGACCCTGATTGCTCACATGAGAGCTCACACTAGGGAGAAACCTTACACCTGCGAACAGTGTGGAAAGAGTTTAGGTAAAAAACAAGACCTTTACATCCACATGAGGATTCACACTGGAGAGAAACCTTACACATGCACAGAGTGTGGTAAAAGTTTTCCACATAAAAACACACTCAAACACCACATGAGGATTCACACTGGAGAGAAGCCGTTTGCATGTGCTCAGTGTGGAAAGAGCTTCACAACCAAAACTAGCCTCAAGAACCACATGAATGGACACACTGGAACCATAGTGTTCACATGTGATCAGTGTGGAAAGAGTCTCACACGCAAAGACACCATTAAGAAACACATAAAGACTCACTCAAGAGAGGATCGTTTTAGATGCAGTGAATGTGGAAAGGGCTTTAAAAGTAAAAGAAGCCTCAACACTCACATGAAGCTTCACAATGGAGAGGAGAGTCCTCAACATTGAGGCCTTGTCCACACAAACACGAGTATATTCAAAACGGCAGCTTTTTCACGTAGTTTGGCTGTTCATTCAAGTGAAGTTTATTTATAAACTACTTTCAAGAGGATCACATGCTTATGATTGTCCACGGCCGGTCCTGCATTAGCTAAAACATGATTCACCATTCAGATGATTCCTAACTCACTATAAATAACCTCTTAACTCAGTTATCTTTGTCTTGAAGAATCCCTCTCCCACCCTTACTCCCCCTCCTTTCTAGATTGGGCAACACGGCAGCCATTGAATAGCCAGTGGTTAGCACTGTTGCCTCACAGTAAGAATGTCGCAGGTTAAAGTCCCTGCTAACCAGTTGACATTTTTGTGCAGAGTTTGCTCACTCTCCCTGTGCTAACGTGGGTTTCCCCTGGGTCCCCTGGTGTTCTCCCACAGTCCAAAAACACACAACCTAAGTAAACTGAACATTAAATTGGCACCATAGTCGAGCTCTTTGTAAGCCTTATATTTCCCTTTAGCCGACCCTATATCTGTCATTAGAATAGAAAGAAGTCTGGGGAGTTCATCGAGATCTACCTGAGCTCACACTCCCCTCTCGTCCTGCTTACTGGATGGAGCCCAGGGCTCGAGGATCTTATGAGCTTAGGTCTGTAAGAGGCTAAATTATCATATGCATTTGTTTATAATACAAAACATGCTTTTTCACTCAAGAAGGTCCATACTGACTACAAAGGCAGATACTGATAAGATCAGGGCCTGTTGTGTGGACTTTGGGGGTTTTATGGTGTGGTCACATGTTGATTGGTCAGTTTGAATGTCTCAGCATTGGTGGTCACATGGTCAAGAAAGATACAAAATAGGTGGTAAACTCTGGCTCTGTCTCTTTTTCCTGCCTCTCTTTTCCTGGCCTGGTTCTCTCCTGCTCTGCTCCTCTCCTCCTCTGGAATCTATCTTCTCTGACTTTGACTTCTCTTTGTCTCTCTCTCTCCCCCTGTGTCTCTCCTTCTACCTATGGTAACTTTAATTTTACATTTAAGCTGGGTACAATTTATACCATATGTTTTATCATTTCATATTTTATCATTTTATACAGTATTTTGTTATTAATTCAGTTGTAACCATAGAGAATTATTGTCATTAAATCATTTCATTTTCAAGTATTTGTGAATTACTTTTGATTTAACATCAACACTTAATTGTTCCATATAGCAATACAATACAATCACATAATATCAACGCTCTCCCACATTTATAGCTATTAATACTGCCCTTTTTTCCGTTTTTGGTATAAGATTGCAGAAGAATGGTTTGACTAGAAATGTACAGTTTTTCACCATCATGCTGATTACTTTTTAGTCACTCGGTAGAACTACAGTTGGAACCGCTGTGGTTTAAAGACCGTCCTTACAGATGGTGCCGAAACCCGGGATCCTTTGCAGTGAGTTTTTCTGAAATTTACTTTAGCCGGTCTTAGCTGGATTTTAACAGCTGACCTGGTGAATGGATTAAAATTGGCCTTCTAACCACAAGAGTGGGTAAGTCTACTTTTATTGTTTCTCCATTTGCTTAAATTGCATGAAACAGAATTTACAAGACTGTAATTTGTTTCAATAGTTCAATTTGGTAAGTTTCAGATTACCTCCTCAAGGATGGAAGGGTTCATTTCTAAAGAAAGTGATGTATTCTTTGCTTTACGGACCAAAAAAGTTCAACCCACATTGTGCAAACTTAACAAAGAGGGACTTGAATTAACAAACTCAGTCTCTACATTATTTGCATGGTGGGATATAATTGGCAAAAATGGAAAGAAATCAAAACGTGGTGATATAATTGAAGCACTAAATTACATGTGTTACTCAAAACTGCGCAATGTAATGTCAGAAATACCTTCAATTATAAAGGCTAGATGTGAAGAATTTGATGATGTTCAAAAATCAGAGGCAGAAAAGTCAGAGGCAAAAATTCTAGATCTCAAGTTACAGCTTGATAATTTACTAGCTGAACAGTTAGCCCTGGCTGAAAAATGCAAAAGTCAAAAAGACACCATTGCAGATTTAAAAGCTATGCTAAAAACACAGAAGTTTGTGTCTCCCAAAATGCTTAACAGCGATGGGATTAAAAAGCATGTTCACTTCTCAGATGAAGTTACTTGTAATGAATCTGAAATGATTTGTTTAGAGGCCGTAGCTAAAAAGAGTTTGCCCGTTTCAGTAATTAAGGTGATGCCACACCATAGCGCAGCAAAGACGCATGGTGTAGAAGCATTAGAGAGTCTTAAAAACCCTCAAACCTCAGATGATCACAGCAATCAACCCTCAGGCAAACAAAACAGGCTTTGTATGACCTGTAAAAAGTTTGGTCACAGAGAGGAACAATGTTGGACATCAGGACAGGGAAGACCTCCACCTTATTTTCTGAGAAAACGGAAATCACTAAAGAGCAAAAATCAGTGGTCTTCACGTAACAAAAACTCATCTGATGATAACACACTTAGTGAACTAACTGCATTGTTAATACAAGGCCTGCAACTGTTAACTTCCTTTGCTAGCGGCTTAGCAGCCTAATAGCAATAAAAGTTAATAATTGCTGATCCTGTTTGCATTTCCAAATTTGTTATATTTGTGTTATTCACATTTTCATTTCCATAGAACACAATGGTATTGTGTGTTACTACACGTACACATAGACTGAGTAATTCCTTAAAACATGATTTTCTCACTATAGGTGTAAAAACACTCAGGTCTGAGGTTTTAGAAGCCACAGATGCATTCTAGACCGCATGTCACGTATAAAGAAGGAATTAACTGTATGCTAAAATTTATTAATTTTAAGGTACTTGTGTTCATTTGTTGGATGAGTTTCATCTCCTAAAAGTGGTAAACTGTGCTATCCTCAATATAGCTGCAGTTTAAACTACAAACAGGAGTATAGAGTTGCCTTGTGGCTCCAGTGTAATAACTGCAGTAACAATGAAAATGCTTTCTTACAGGATTCAGCCTTGAACATTGCACTTTATCATGCTTCTTTAAAATAAAACATTGATTTGGAAGTTTTTTGAGCCAGATCACATTCACATCTCATGCTCAAATTCCATGCTGGCTCCCTGTTACAACAGGACTAAATTTTACACACTACCGTAAAACTTCCACCTTTTGTTAGGAGCATGTTTACACAAACACATAGCCTCACAGCTGGAACACTGCCACACAGAGAACAATGTTTCAAATCTTCACACACACAGTCAAATTCACTATTTTGTCTAACAAGCTTAATATAGATTTTACATGTTATTTAAGTCTTTTCAGTCAGACTTTATTTTAACTATAGATTTTTCATCTTGTGTTGTTATTTTGGTTTCTTTTGATTTTTAACCAGTTACTTATTTTTTGTTTAAACAAAGTTATATCAAAATGTAAATTGTGATTCTAAATCCAAAATGCTGAATTGTTGTTGCTTTTGTAACACTTTTGACATCTCTACAACAAATGATATTTGTGATTATTTTATATTTAATCCATTTAAATGCAGTTGTGATTGTCTTTGAATATTGATTCATTTAATTCACCGTATTTGGTTACACTGAATATTTTGCTGAAACTCTTAACCAGCTATTGTTGATTTTGTTGTAAAGCAATTATTTTTGATGTTTCCAGATATTGTGTAAAGAGCTTGTTTGCTTTTATTTTATCTTAATCTTGACCATATTTTAATGACATTAATTTAAGGGCATTTTGCTTGAGGAGAACTCAAACTGACCACATCAATCCTTTGATCAATGGCAAATGCCATGTGTTTGCTTCTGCTGTTTGTTGTGCCATTTGCTGTTTTCCAATACAGGATCCATGTAGAAAAGGTTCACGTCTTGTGATCAACTTCAAGAGAAGAGCAGGGGTTCCCTGCATTCCTTAGCACCTATTCTTGTGGGGGTATGAAGGACAATTTGCATATAAGCAGTGCAACACCATTTAATTAAAGCCTCTCACGTAGGGCTGAAGGAAAACAAAGACTGACCAACCTAATTCCTACAACCAGCCTGGACAGGATGTCCGAAGATGACAGCAGCACACATCACAATGCATATTTTCATCATTAATGTCACCTTTTTGCCACTTTATGTGTCACAACGGTGCCAGGGGAGGATTGTAAGAGGCTAAATTATCATATGCATTTGTTTATATGACAAAACGTGCTTTTTCACTCAAGAAGGTCCATACTGACTACAAAGGCAGATACTGATAAGATCAGGGCCTGTTGTGTGGACTTTGGGGGTTTTATGGTGTGGTCACATGTTGATTGGTCAGTTTGAATGTCTCAGCATTGGTGGTCACATGGTCAAGAAAGATACAAAATAGTTGGTAAACTCGAGCTCTGTCTCTTTTGCTGCCCTCTTTTTTCCTGGCCTGCTTCTCTCCTGCTCCTCTCCTCTCCTCCTCTGGAGTCTATCTTCTCTGACACAATCAGGCTTCTGGGCCTGCTCTCTTTCTCTCTCTCTCTCTCCCCCTGTATCTTTCCTTCTACCTATGGTAACTTTAATTTTACATTTAAGCTGGGTACAATTTATACAATATGTTTTATCATTTCATATTTTATCATTTTATACAGTATTTTGTTCATTAATTCAGTTGTAACCATCGAGAATTATTGTCATTAAATTATTTCATTTTCAAGTATTTGTGAATTACTTTTGATTTAACATCAACACTTAATTGTTCCATATAGCAATACAATACAATCACATAATATCAACGCTCTCCCACATTTATAGCTATTAATACTGCCCTTATTTCCGTTTTTGGGATGAGATTGCAGAAGAATGGTTTGACTAGAAATGTACAGTTTTTTTTACCATCATGCTAATTACTTTTTAGTTGCTCGGCAGAACTACAGTTCAAACCGCTGTGGTTAAAGACCTATCTTACACTGCGGTTACACTAGAGTTTGAGCATGCAAAATTCTGTTGTATGGTGCTGCGAAAAAGGGCAGGATTAAACAAGATGATTAGACATAAAAAAGTGAGCGATTGGTCCATATTTTACATTTCTGTCCAGAGAGGTAAGGTTTTGATCTTTGGTTGGTCTTACACAGTGATGTGTAAGACCAATGTGATTGCGCAGGTCAGAGTTCACCAAGCTTGAACTTTGCAACACAGTGAACTGCGAAACCTGATCCACGAACTTGCATTTCCGGTCTGACGCAAGTGCAAGTAAATGGTTTCTCTCAAGTGTGGATCATAATGTGTAAATTAAGGGATGATGATAGACGGAAACTCTTCCCACACTGATTGCAAGTGTTTTCAGTGTGGATCCTCATGTGTTTATTAAAGTGTGATGAACTGTTAAAACTCTTCCCACACTGAGCGCACGTGAACGGTTTCTCTCCAGTGTGGATCCTAATGTGGTGTTTAAGGGATGATAAGTGACTGAAACTCCTCCCACACTGAGTGCAAGTGAATGGTTTATCTCTCGTGTGGATCCTCATGTGTTGATTAAGGGATGATGACTTACTGAAACTCTTCCCACACTGAGCGCAAGTGAATGGTTTCTCTCCCGTGTGGATCCTCATGTGTTGATTAAGGGATGATGAGCGGCTGAAACTCTTTCCACACTGAGTGCATGTGAATGGTTTCTCTCCAGTGTGGATCCTCATGTGTTGATTAAGGTGTGATAAGCAGCTGAAACTCTTTCCACACTGATAGCACGTGAATGGTTTCTCTCCAGTG